ACACAGGGACACACAGACACATGGACACAGGGACACACAGACACAGGTACGCACAGACACATGGACACAAACACATTGACACAGGGACACACAGACACACAGACACAGGGATGCACAGACACACGGACATAGACCCATGGATACGTTGCTGCACCAAGCTGTGCAGCTCCAGGCCCATGGCCCCGTGTCCAAAGCAGCCCGAGGAAGATCCATCCCTGCCCTCTGTACCCACCCCAGATCCAGCCACTCCCGTGGGTGCTCCCTGACCTTCCCATGCACCCACTCCTCCTGCACACACCCCATGGGCCAGAGGGCCCTGGGCCAACAACACCATGGGCAGCACCCTTGGGTGGGGAAACTGAGGCAGGGCCTTGGTGAGGGACCCAGAGAGCAGGAGCTGAGCCTTGGGGACAATAAACACACTGAGTGGGGGGCTCCTGTCACCTGTGATGTGGCCAAACCCTGATCCCATTGCCCCCAACAGCTGGGGTGATACACAGATACTCTGAGGCTGCCTTGGGGACCCCTCCCAGCCACAGAGACCCTTCCCTGATGTGGGGGAATCCATCCACCTCGGGAATGATCTCTGCCATGGGGATCCACCCCTGCCAGTGGGGACCCCATCTACTCTGGGGACAATCCCTGTCATGGGGGCCCTCTTGGCTTTATGGACCCCTCCCCACAGCAGGACCTCATCCAGCCATGGAGACCATTCCCTGACTATCCTGGGGATCCCAGCCCTGCCGTGGGTGTCCCCTCCCTGCCATAGGAGTCCTCCTCCTTTCCATGGGGGCAAGGGAGGGGTCTTCCATGGGAGGTCTTCCAAGAGAAGACCCTCTCTCTGTCATGGTGTCCCCTCCCTGCCATGCAGGCCCCCATCCCTTCTATAAGAGACCCCTCCCTGCCGTGGGGGACTCTCTCTGTCATGGGGGTTCCCCTCCCTGCCATGGGGGTCTCTTCCCTTCCGTGGGGGACCCATTCCTGCCATGAGGGTCCTCACCCACTTCAGGAACCCTCCTAGCCGCCGAGATCCCTCCCGGCCTCCGTCTGGCACAGCCGTCCCGGAGTTTCTGCCCGGCTCCCCCTGGTCCTCCCGAGACTCACCCATTTTCTTCAGGGCTCTCCCGGACCGCCGGGAGCCACCGGCACCGTCCGACGGGGCGCGGGGCTGCTCGGCGGCGGGACGCGCCTTCCTGCCGCAGATCATGGTGCAGGACCCCCGGGACGGCCGGTACTCCCGGTGTCCCCGGTGCCCTCGGTGCCCTCGGTGCTCCCGGTGTTCCCGGTGTTCCCGGTACCCCGCTACTCCCGGTGCCACCGACGCCCCGGTGCCCGCGGTAGTTCTGGTTGTCCCGGTGCTCCCGGCCGGTGCAGCCGGGCTGGGCGGTGGCGGAGGTCGGCGCTGGGGCTGGACTGGGGCTGGGCGGCCCCGCCGGGACCGGGGCCGGCCGCGGGGAGGGACCGGGAGGAGCCACATCGCGGCCCGGGCCGCGTTAACCGTTTGTGCCGGTGGGGGACGGGGCCGCTCCGGGACGGGGCTGCACCGGGGCTCGTTCCGCACCGAGAACGGGCCAGAGCAGCACCGGGTATTCATTCTGCACTGCGAGTCCCGCTCTGCCCGAGGGGCCGGGCCGAGACAGACGGGGACTCCCCATTGCCCGCACCGGGGACCAGCCAAGGGACACACCGCTCTCCACCGCGGCACCCCGCTCTGCCCCGGGGGCACGGCTGCCGGTGCTACCCCGGTACCGCCGGTGGGGACCAGGGGATCCCTTCCATCAGCTGGGGGACGTGGGGACACAAGGGACCCCTTCTGCCGTCACACCCGGGGACAGAAGGGACCATGGGACCCCCTCTGCCCTCGCACCTGGGGACCCAGTCCTGCCGTACCCACTCGGTCCCCAGCCCATGGGCCGGGTGGCACCAGGGCTGAGGAGTTGCAGGCAGGTGCTGGGACCCCAGGTGACTGTCCCTGCTGGTGGGACAGCAGCAGGAGCCAGGGAGTGGCAGCAGCATTAACTGGGCAGTGCCAGTCCCAGAGCCCCACGCGTGTGTGCAGGTCCTTACACGTGTGTGTGTGTGTGTGTGTGTGTGTGTGTGTGTGTGCAGCCACAAACACACATATCACAGAATCCCTGAGGTTGGAAAAGCCCTCCAAGATCATCCAGCCCAACCTGTGACCCATTCCCACCTTGTCACCAGCCCGGAGCACTGAGTGCCACGTCCAGTCCTTCCTTGGACACCTTCAGGGATGAGGACTCCTCCACCTCCCTGGGCAGCCCCTTCCAGTGCCTGAACACCTTTTCCATGAAGAAATTCTTTCAGATGTTCAACCCGACCCTCCTGTGGCACAGCTTGAGGCCGTTCCCTCTCCTTCTGTCGCCTGTTGTCATTTTACACACCTTTCCCACAGCCACCACTTGCTGAGGGTGGGTGGGGAGGGAGGGATGGGTGGCCACAGTCTTCTTCCAAAAATCCATAGTGTCCAGGAGAGCAGGGAGGCCACCCCAGGCCTGACCAGGCTGTGGGGACCAGGAGTTGCAGGACAGGGAGAGGAGGTGACTTTCTCTAGGGTCAGTGTGGCAGCAGCACGGCCAGACCCTGAGTGGGACAGTTGGGCAGCCAGGGGTGACAGTTGGGCAACTTAGAGCAACATCTGGGCAGCATCTGGGCACCCTGGGGCAACACTGGGGCACTCTGGGGCAACTTATGGACATCCTGGGTGATCTCTGTACATGCAGGGCAATGTCAGGGCACCCGTAGCAGTGTTTGGGCACCCTGGGGGATGTTGGAGCATCCTGGAGCAACATCTGGACACCTGGAGCAACACCCAGACGCCCTGGGGCAACTTCTGGGCATCCTGGGTGATCTCAGGTGATCCTGGAGCAACACCTGTACGCGCAGGGCAGCACCCAGGCATTTTTGGGCAATATCTGGACATCCTGAGTGATACCTGTGTACCTCAAGCAACATCTGGACAGCCAGAGCAACATCTGGGCGTTCCTGGGGCAATGTCTGGTAACCCAAGAGCAACATTTGCACCTGCAGGGGAGCATTTGGTCAGCCTGGGCAGCGCCTCAGGGCTGCTGTTCAAGACCTGAGCAACTCACACAACATCTGGACAGCTGGGGCACATCTGGGCAGTCCCTTGGCTGTGTCTGGGGGGGAGGATAAAGCTGTTCCTGAATACCCTGGGGACACGGGGACACCACAGTCCCCCCCAAAAATGCACTCACAACCCCGTAACCGGGCTCTGCTCCAAGTTCTCTTCCTCCCATGGAAATTGCATTCCCGGGAATTCAGCAACAGATGCCCTGACCCGGTGAAATGAACTGGGATAAACACCCCTCGCTGCAAAATCCACAGCACAAACAAATCCCGGTGCGATTCCCCCTCTCCCCGCCCGCAGCGTTGCTATTTTCTCCCGCCCGCCGGCGAGTTGGAAAGGATCCCATGGAAAACAGCATTCCCGGCCGCTTATAGCACAGCACGTGTGCCGTGAATCAGCGCTCGGGATTCGGGGCTGGATTTGCCGGGAGTGGGAGCCAGCGAGGCCTTGTGGCCGTTCCGAGCAGGAATCCTGAGTCAGAGCTCGGAAATGGCCAGGGCTTTAAAAGGCTTTGCTGATTTTATTTGTTGTGTTTCTTATTTATTTCATTTTATTTATTTATTTATTTACCTTCAATTTTTAGAAAGGAAATGTTTCTCCAGGGGTTGAGGGACGGGATTTAGGGGAGTTTGGGGGGGTGGGGCATTGGCCCTACTTGGATTTGGGATTTGGAGGTGGGATTAAGGTTGGAAAACTGGTGTGTGAGGCAACGATGGGGCTGCTGAAAGCTGCTCTGCACCCCAATCCCAGAATCCAGCCCTGGGAGAACACGGAATCCAGGCAGTCCTCAGGGCACCCCAGAACATCCCACATCCCCAGGGCACCTCATACCTCCAGGGACATGTCCCCACGTCCCCACAGTGCCCTGCCTTCAAGGAAAGCCCTCGCAGCAGAGGGGGAAGGAGAAGAGGAGAAGGAGGAAAAGCTTCACCTCAGGGGCTCAGGGACCCCAAATTCTGCCCCTTCCTCACTATCATAATTAATAAAGTTGGATAATAATTAACAGTGGATAAAAGTATACAGTGGATAAAAGTAACAGTGGATAAAGCTGGATAATAATTAACAATTGCTCTGCCTGAGCCAGATGTTCCTACTCTGCATGCAGTGGGACTGTGCCCCTGGCCAGGGCCCCCATGCCACTGTCCCAGTGCCATATCCCAGTTCTCCAGTGCACTGTCCCAGTACTTCATCCCACTTTCCCAGTGCAGTGTCCCAGGCCCCTGGTCCATCCCCCTGGGGCCCTTGCTTGGTTGGCCCAGTGCATTGTCCCCATGCCTGGTGCCATCCTGATCATGGAATCCCAGAATGGTTTGGGTGGGAAGGGACCTTAAAGATCACCCTATTCCCACCCCCTGCCATGGGCAGAGACACCTACCACTACCCAGGGTTGCTCCCAGTCCCATCCAGCCTGGCCTTGGACACTTCCAGGGATAGGGCAGCCACAGCTTCTCTGGGCAACCTGTGCCAGTGTCCCAGACAATAGTTGTGCCCTGGCACTTCCCACCCACCCTGTCCTGCTGCACAGCCCAGGTGGGTGAACATCCCAGTGTGCTGTCCCTGAGCACTGTCCCTGTGCCTGGTGCAGAGCCACGGAGCACTGGAGCACTGTCCCACTGCACTGTCCCATTGCACTCTCCTGTCCCACTACCCCTCTCTCCTGTGCTCTATCCCACTCTCCCAGTACCCTATCACACTCTCCCATCCCCTATCCTGCTCCCTGTCCCACTATCCTGCTCTCCCTGTCTCACTATCCCAGTCCCTGTCCCATTATCCTGCTCTCCCTGTTCCACTATCCCAGTCCCTGTCCCACTATCCCGCTCTCCCTGTCCCACTATCCCGCTCTCCCTGTCCCACTATCCTGCTCTCCTTGTCCCACTGTCCCAGTCCCTGTCCCACTGTCCCTGTCTCTGTCCCCCTGTCCCAGTCCCTGTCCCACTATCCCAGTCCCCGTCCCACTATCCCGCTCTCCCTGTCCCACTGTCCCAGTCCCACTATCCCAGTCCCTGTCCCACTGTCCCAGTCCCTGTCCCACTGTCCCTGTCTCTGTCCCACCATCCCAGTCCCTGTCCCACTATCCCAGTCCCTCTCCCACTGTCCCAGTCCCTGTCCCACTATCCCGCTCTCCCTGTCCTACTATCCCAGTCCCTCTCCCACTGTCCCAGTCCCTCTCCCAGTATCCCGCTCTCCCTGTCCCA